CAAACAGACATGACATACACATCTCCTGGTGAACAGGTAAGTCTTTTGACAATGCCCTTTGCCTTAGTTTTAAATATGCCTGTTGATAGAGAACTTGACCTTTGACCTGCTTTCACGTTTCTGAGCTCTGACGAGATACCTTTTCACAATGCTTTACTTTTTCAAGGCCCGTGCTGCTTTATTTTTACAAGGCCTGAGGCCTATATCGGGTAAAGGCCCTTTTATTAATAAACTGAACAACTTTGGCCTCAGGGTCACATCGAAATTCTTTTCCAAATTTAAAAAAAAAAAAAAAAAAAAATCTTGTAATTTAAAAACATTTTCAGTATGCCCCTCAAAGTTCGGTTTATTTGCGGCATGCCCCTCTGACGGCCGACTTACCCTGTTGCACCTTCTGACAACGATTGAAGTTTCTGAAAAACCCCTGGCGTCGTTTGGAACTGAAATATGTTCAATATGCCCCTACTGGTACGGCTTCCAAATTCCGAGTATACCCCGGTAGCTCCTCTCCCAGGGGCAGGCAAAGGCCGTGAGTGCCACCGAACGCCCACAGGGGCATGCTGGAATATTGCGCCCCTCACTGACAGGGGCCTGCAAGAAAGTTCAGAGGCCCCGAGGGCACGACAGGGTGATTCGGCCGTCTGAGGGGCGCGCCACAAATAAATAGAACTTTCAGGGGCATATCAAAAATTTTCAATTTTTATTTTTTATGTTTTATTTTTTTCTGGCCCAGCCGGGCAAGTGGTCCCGCGGCACTCTGGTAGCCTAGGTGTTATGTAACATGTCAAAACTTTCACTCCCGTCAAGTTAAACCTTCACAGTTCCATGCACAAATAATAATAATAATAATAATAATAATTATTATTATTATTATTATTATTAATTAAAAAAAAAAAAAAAAACTGAAGAGGATGAGTGAATCAGAGTGATGACAAACGCAGGTAGAGAGAAATAGTCGGTGGTTGGAGTTTGGCAGCACTCACCACATCAGAAAATGCAACAGATAAGGAGCTGAGCAATATCGCCAGTACTGCAGAATACTTATCATAGACAAACAGGGCAAGGCTACTCCAAGCCATGGCTCCAAGAAGCCCACATCCGAACAGGTAGGATCGTCTCCGGTACCCAAAAAGAGGCACAGCGTCGCTGTCCCAGCAGAGTAGTATACAAGAGCAAGTTCATCAGCGCCAAGCCAAAACCAGCTAACAAGAGCAAAAGAAACAAAAAAGGCAGAAAAAAAAAAGACAGACAATTATGCTGATTTTGGTTCACACTATGAACTAGTATTGAACCAAAATAGATGGGCAGTAAGTTGACCGATTTTTCTTTCTTTTCTTTTTCCTTTTGAAAAGCATATATTATATTATTACCATTATTTATGACCATAGTTGCAGCGCACCAGTGCGCAGTGCGGTACGGGCTGGTGCGCTGTGCAATTGCAGGCGCTGCGGGCAGTGCGCCAGGTGCGCGGGGAAGAAAAAAAAAAAAAAAAACACTTATACGTGCCCTCGGGGGGAGAGAGAGAGAGAGAGAGAGAGAGAGAGAGAGAGAGAGAGAGAGAGAGAGAGAGAGAGAGAGAGAGCAAAGCGCCCCCTTTACGTCAATTCATGGTATTGTATAAAGTTCCTATAAACTTAAATATTTATATATTTATGTATATTATTATACTTACTATATTATACATACTATATTATACATATTAATGATATTATATTATACATAGTATTTAATATTTATATTTACATATTAATTATATTAGTATCCTAAGGTTATGGGTTTACATCTACCTCTCTCTGCTCTGTGTGGGGAGCAGTACCCAAGCTCCTCACACCTGGCATGGGCTGGAAGAGATCAGTTTTACAACCTGCAAGGAGGCCCAAGCCAACAATCTCTGCTGGTGAGCACCAAAGCATCCCCCAGGAGGTCTCTGGGTTGTCGTCGTTTCCTTTTTTGTCACCTTTCCAACCGCCTTGAATTTGGGAGGTCTGGGGGGTTAACTTTTATCGTTGGCCGAAGAGTGAGGGCTTTCTTAACTGAATGTGGCAGCAATTACGGTCAGATGCATCCAGGAAAATGCTAGTGTGAACATGCCCAGAGCACACTGGCTGCAGGTAGATGCGATGAATGTAATCTGCTCCTTTCTGCAACTGAAACTTTATTCAGAAATCAATTATCAATCCACAAACTAGAAAACAGTACAGCCAAAAAAAAAAAAAAAAAAAAAAAGGA